CTGTCAATTCCAATTGTTCCAAAGGTACATGTAATGGCTTGCACATTGGTTAACTTTTGTTCCCTCTGGCTGAAATGAGAATGTTCCTTTACTCACATCTCCCGCTTTCTTCTCTATTAATCAGAACTTGGAAAATGGCTTCCATGAGGTTGAAGATCCAAAGGTTTGAAGTTTTCCACCTTAAATATTCCTTTTGTTTTGAAACTTAAATTTTCTGTCTATGGTCTCACAAGTCACAACAATCTGTCATTTTCAGGAACCCCAAAGTGCACCTCCTGCTATTAAAGATTATGGGAATGGTGATCCAAAGTTGAGGAAATCTTGTGTCGACAGGCAACTTGTAGGTCAACATATTTATTGTTTAAATTGCTCATACAAAAATGGTTACTTGACTCTTATCTTTCTGTAGGAAAATGTCGATGCACTTATTGACTGTGTGTCAAAAAACCTTGGCTATTGTGGGGGGAAACCAGTTGCTGCTTTTACCATATATAAATGTCTTCTTCACTGGAAATCTTTTGAGGCAGAGAAGACAAGTGTTTTTGACCGCCTTATTCAGTTAATAGGATCTGCAATAGAGGTAATCTGGAACCTGTATTGTGGTCTTTCAGCGTTACTTGAGCCAGAAGTACAATTAGACTTCTTTTATATATATATATATATATAAATATAATAAGTGGTTATTATTTGAAAATTTAATCTGAGATCCTACCAGCATCAAAACATCTCTAGGCTTTATCTTTATGTTATATAAAAGTAGAGCTGCTCTCTTAACAAGTTTCCAATTTCTTTTACACCCTACATTTTCCACTCTACTACTCTAGTTGTCTAGAAGTTATTCTGCGCTTGCTCCATTTTCCTCAAGGTATTGGAGCATCAGCTGAAGTAGCAATATGCCACTTCTACCCTTGAATGAAGGCAAAGCCATTTTTGCTAATAAATCAAACAAAAAACTCAACCTGTAGATGCGTGAAAACTGGCATGGTTTTGGAAATATTACAAGCATGGAGATCTAGGCCACTTCTTAGTACATGGAAGAACATGCTACTTATTTGGTCCAACATTTTCGTTTTTTCCAATAAAGTAGAAGAAAAACTAAAACCCTTTCAGATTCTTGAAAACTGGGATGGTACAGGAAAGACTTGAAAACATGGAGAGAGAATCAACTTCTTATTACACCAATCTAATTGGTTTTTGTTTTCTAAATTTGTATTCCTCAGAAATCAATAATGACGTCACTCTGTTCTCTGGCATTTCATTTATTCCAATCCACAGTTTATTTCAGTGATACTGTTTTGACCTTAAATTGTAATCTGATTGAATTTTGGAAGTTGGCAAGTTTCTTTGGCCCCCAGTCAGCTTACGTTGTGAAGCCCTTGATGCAGAATGAAGAAGATAACGATAATCTTGCTTACTGGCTCTCAAATACATCTAGCTTGCTGTTCCTACTTCAGAGAAGTCTCAAAGCTGCTGGTGCACCTGGGAGTGTTTCACGAAAGAAACCTCCTCAGCCAACATCATTGTTTGGCAGAATGGCTCAAGTATGTTACTTTCTTTTCCATGCATGAAAAGTGGAAGGAAATAAAATGGAAAATGTGGTACGGGCTCTGATAATGTAAATTCACTTGTCTAGGGCTTGCGATCTGCATCTTTTGTCAACATGCATGTTGAGGCAACTGATGTCGTCCGTCAAGTTGAGGCCAAGTATCCTGCCTTGCTTTTCAAGCAGCAGTTAACTGCTTATGTGGAGAAGATTTACGGTATCATCCGTGACAATATTAAAAAGGAATTATCATCTTTGATTTCTCTGTGTATCCAGGTATATTTTCCTTTTGGATCTTTGCTGTTTGTTGATAACTGGCTGTAAATGGATTCATTGTTTACCATTCATTTTGATCTTTGTTAACCACTAGGCTCCGAGAACAATGAAAGCTAGCATGCTGCGAATGTCTGGACGGTTATCTGGTCAAGCTCAGAGCAACCATTGGCAGAGAATCATCGAGAGCTTGGATATCCTTTTGAAGAAACTGCAAGATAACCATGTATGTGTATTTCTTTGTTTCTATGCGATTCACTTCTGTTGGATGTATGCGCTAACTGCTGCTTTGTTTATCCTCAGGTACCCCCAGTTTTAGCTCAGAAAGTTTTTACCCAGATATTCTCATACATTAATGTACAACTGTTCAACAGGTGAACCTATATTTCAAGTTTTGTTTCTTGTATGCCGGGAAACTTGCGCAGTACATGAGTACATGAATGTTTTTTGTTCTGCAGTTTACTCCTTCGTCGTGAATGTTGCTCCTTCAGCAATGGAGAGTATGTCAAAGCTGGTCTAGCCGAGTTGGAATTATGGTGTGCAAAGGCAACAACTGAGGTGATCTGTCTGTGTTTGAACGCTAGCTTTCCCTCCTACATGATTCAGTTTACTGAAGCTCCTTCATTTTTTTTTCATACAGTATGCTGCAGCATCCTGGGATGAGCTCAAGCATATCAGGCAGGCTGTTGGCTTTCTGGTATGATGTCCATTCTGCTTGTGTATATTTGTGTTGAGGTTTGGCACCAATAAAATGTTGTAGTTTTGAGAATGTTATCTGATTGTCCGATTAATCACGATTAATCGTCCTGATCGCTCCCCTACCTCCGATCAGGCACAGGTAAGTCGATCAGCCGATCAGAAAGCTGATCATCCGATTAATCGATGATTAGTCGCAATTAATCGTCCGATCAGGGTGGAAAACGATCAGTTCATGGGCTACCTCCCTGAGAAAATATAATTTTGGGCCTGCCAGCCCAGCCCATGTTCCATTTTGGGCAGATGACGGGCAGCAAATGATGCTGCTTCTTCTTCTTTGACCAAATGATCCTTGCTTTTTACCATATACTACAGACTATAGAGTATTTAGTATATAATATATAGCATATTTGGCCTGCTGGACACTCTTGCTATACTAACCGATCAGCCTCGATTAATCGCCCTGATCGTCCTGGTCGGTGCCTAGGCGATCAGGGCTGATCGCCCGATCAGATAACACTGGTACTTTTGACATCCTATGTGCATGAGTGGCATCCTAGAACCTTGCTTTATTTATCTTTGGCTTTAATAAGCTTCATAGCTTTCCATGAATAAAGCAAATGATAATTAGTGTTAATCCAGACTGATGTTGCCCTGTGCTGTGTGTAATTGGCAACTATTAATACATTTTCAATACTCTTTTCAGGTCATATTCCAAAAATTCAGAATATCTTATGATGAGATTGTCAATGACCTATGTCCGGTAAAATCACATTAACCGCACTTTTCAATTTTGTCGAGCATCTTTTCTGTTTTTGTTCCTTAAGCAAATTGGTGCTAATTCATGCTTTATTGTTGATATCTGTAGATCTTGAGCGTTCAGCAGCTGTACAGAATCTGTACACAGTACTGGGATGACAAGTACAATACCCAGAGCGTATCATCAGATGTGAGTTCCATTCGTTAAAAAAAATCAATATACAATTATGCATGTGGCAATGAAAATCTTTCCATTTGTTGACTGCTAAAGTACATTTTCTTTTCCCCCTTTTAAAAGAATGTTGTATATGGAATTGAAATAACGTACATACACATTACTGCTTAATTTTAATTCCTGGTCAATGTAGTATACTGTGCAGGATATCAAAAGTGAAAAGAAAACTTAAGGTCATCTAATGTTTCAGGTTCTTAGTAACATGCGGGTGCTGATGACAGAGGACTCTAATAACGCTGAAAGCAGTTCATTTCTGTTGGATGATAATTCAAGGTAACATAAGTACCATTTGATTTAATTGTGTGGATGTATCTACTGTTTATATTAGTCCCTGGACAAACATTAACACACCCCTCAATTTATTGTTGTGTTTGCAATGCAGCATCCCGTTCTCAGTCGATGACATCACCAACTCAATTCAGGAGAAGGACTTCACCGATGTCAAACCAGCTGAGGAGCTACTCGAGAATCCCGCCTTCCAGTTTTTACAGGATTAGGGCTGTGAAATCTCAGAGCTTTATACCGTTAGATACCTTGTCAGAATATTCCTTGATTTGTTGTAAATTTTTTTCAATCCTTTACGCTGGATGGTGTACCCTTTCTTTTGTTATATTTCCTTTTCTTTTCCAGCTAGTTTTTTGTAAAATCCTTATAGGTAGTCAATAGGGTTGGGATGGGATTCCTCCCTTACATCTAGGAAAAGCAATATCTTTTAAAGCAAGGCAGGCAAATCATTCTTTTGTAGGGCAAATTCAAATCAGTCTTATAATATCCATGGGTTGTAGGAAGAGGCAATGTCTTGGTGGCCTCTCCCAGTTATAGATTGTACAAAGTTACAATGTATATCAACAGTGCAAGAAAAGGAAATTCATATACCAAATGGCATTATGCTCATACATCATATCTTGGAGGTGTTGTCTTGTTTACCAGATGCGCTGCAATCTGCAGTGACTTTTTGTTACTCTTTTTGAGAGAACTAAACTGCAAATACAGAGGATGTTTCGTAATTTCTTCTGCGTCTTTTTCTGGCTTGTGGTGTCTAAGGTGCCATCGCATGGAAGGAAGTTGTGTAGTTTCTCTATGGGTAACTTCGGTTTGAAAGTAGTCTGAGCAATTTGAATGTAGCCTTGTGTAAACTTTGAGTCGATTCTCATCCTCCATGCTCGAGCAGGTACGTCCGTCTTCTTTCGATCCGCCGTGCCTTTTCCTTCCATTCGTTTTGAATTTTTCTGGAAGAGTTCTTCATTTGGATTTGAAGGAAAGTTACTTCAACTGGAGGGGAGCACGGGAAACCCGCGAACTTTGCTGCACAGTCCCAAATGCCCACCTGACACCCCTGGCCCACAGCTCTAAAGCGTCCAACATCACTAGCCAATTCCCTAAACTACCCTCCCTCAGAAATTCCTCCATGCATGGTTTCTCGGGGGTATTTCCGTCCATCCACACACTGAACGAGAGAGAAGAAGCAACAACAATAAACCGATGGCAGGTAGGCACACCGCACTCCCCCATTCCCTTCCACCCTCTCCCACCCTTTAAAAAAATAATACAAAAATAAGAAAAAGAAGGAGAAGAAGGGAGATTCTCTCTCTCTCTCCTCCTCCCGCTCCCGAATTCCTTCTAGATTATCCCAAATTCTTCGCTGCCAAGCCGCCATCCCGCGGAATCGAGGTAATGGTTATCTTCCCCCCAAGTTTGTTCGTTCGTTCGTTCTAGCTCGATTCCTTGAGCGGATTGTTTCGTTTGATTTGGTTTGGTTTCTTCTAGCGAGGGGAAAGGGTAGGAGGAGCCTGACTTGCTGTGGAAGGTGGTTAGTTTGGGGGGGGGGGGGGAGTGGTTGCATGTGTTTCTTTTGCATGGAAATTTTGCTCATGCCTGGTGAAAGCTGTGGCGCTGATTTGGAGCTCGGAGTTTGTATGTAGAATTGTGAGGATTGATTATGCTTCGTGGGATGGTTGCAAGGAGGAGATGTTGTACTATTTTTGGAGTAGCAATGCTCTCTAGTGTATCTAAACAAGGGAAAGTGGGATGGGGGAATACCACGCATCCGGCTCAAAATGTATGAGGGGTTATCTATTTAGGGTAATGATAATGCTTGATTGATGGGTGGGGTACTGGGTTAAATTTTCCTAATGTAGATATGTGCGTCACTTTCTGAATGGGGTTGTCTTAGCTATCTACTTCTTCACAAGGTGTTGATCTGTATTTGAATGGAAAAAGATTGAGGTTCTTGTTCGATCACTCAAGTTTAATTCACTGATAGAGATAAGCAGCTCTACTTTTGTAATTCTAGAAAGTTGAAAGAGAATGTTTTCACCACCATCTTATTCCCTGATGTAGGCTTTCGCTTAAGTACACTTGTCATTGTTGATTATTATCCTGCTCAGGGATCTAAATAATGAAATTTCATTCTTGCATAGGTGCTGTTCCCCTTGCCTTTGCTTCACCTCTTTTGTATCACTACCGGAACTTTACTCACAGCTGCTCAGTTGTTTCTTTGCTGTCAGCATGGGGGAACATACCTTGTACATTATATACAGCTTGATTTTTGTTTTATCACATTGGCTCTTTCAGGGATGAGCAGCAAGTTCATGATAACCTACAAGAGGAAGCGTGTTACATCACATGTCTATACAGCTGATGGCACCAATCTCAAGTCTTCTGGTGCTTCCAGTAGTGTTCCTGTCAGCAGTTTATCCCCAAAATATGGGGTTGGTGCCGATAATAACATGTTAGAGGAAGATAATTTTGTGAGGAACCTTGACTTGTCACCCTTACTATCTATTTTAGCATTTGATGTTACTCTGTTACATTCCTAAAGAGGGTGTACAATACATAACTACTACTGATATGCACCACTTCCACAAGGAGCGCATGAAACTGCCATGTCAAACAGTACAACATGATGTAGATATTCATATCTAGAAATGTCACTAGTCATGTTTTTTCAGGAATCTAATCTATCGTGCTTTATAATAAAAAATCGTTTAATGAAACCATGATATATGTTTATGTTTTAAAACTGCTGTGTGATAAAGTTCCATGCCATACTAAAAGTTTGTTCTGTATCACTGTGGTGTGTTAATGTTCAATGCTGGAGTATATACTAAAATTTTGTATTTTTGTATTCATAAGTTGATCTAACTTTATTCATATCTGATACTTATTCTCATCTATAAAATTGGCAGTCGACCTCTACAAAGCAACAGGATGTATTTGATTCAAGGGAGCAAGTCATCAAGGAAGAATCACCTAAACAAAGTGCAAATGCACCAGGCAAAGAACGAGCGGAACTTAAGTCACGTGAATCATTATCTCAAAAGGAACAGCCTGAGATATGTTCTACTCATACTGCAATAGGAGACGCATGTGAGAATAAATTAGAATGCATAGATGGCACACATAATCAAAGTCTTGTTTCCAGTTGTGTGCATGCTGACAGGACAACTAATCAGGCAGAAGATTCTAGTGCCTCTGTTTCTGTGGGAGTAAATTCTCATCAGCAGCCGAATAATTCTACCAGGCCTAGCCAATCTAAGAGTAGATTTAGTCCTATGCTTACATTTCATAGGCGAGTTAAAAACAAAATAGGTTTGGAAGAGCCTGCAGCAGGAAGTTGTTCAAGAGATAATGACAAACATTGCTCAAAACTAAGTTGCAACCCACCAAGTTCGCCACTGGATGCTATACCCTTGTGTAGACAAACTGCTGGCAGTTCTTTGGATGTTGAAGATAAGGTATGTTTCTCTCTCATGACCTCATCTTCATGTACTCGTACTTGTACAATAACAGTACTGCTAACTTGACAAAATTTTTGTTAAGCCTATCCATTTGTTTTACTTGTTCATTCTATGCGACTATGTGCAATACTATTGCAAGTGCACATACCAGTGTCAGGAAATAATGCATGTTGTGACTGCAATGGCTAGAGGCATCCAACATTGTCCGTGTAACTTCAACTGAAAGCTTCTATGTGATTCACTTATGCACCATATTCTAGATTCATGTCTTTTCTTTTATAAATTCTTCAAATAAAATCCAATGTGTGTGTCATTGCGACTGCATTCTCTCTACTGCTTGCATTGTCTATACACAATGAGGCTACACTCCTGATAGTTTATGTGTTCATTGACTATGTGCTTTTGCATTTTACCACGTAGAGCATTCAGAATAACTACAGCTTCTATTTAATACTGAGGAAAAGGAATTTATTTACAGGTTACTATAGCGGGAACAAGCACTGGACAATCTGTAATTGTTGACCACTTGCTTGAACAAAAAAGGTAAGACGGTACTATTTGTTTTGTTGATCAGTACATGAACCCGGAACTCATTAATGCTCCTTTTCTAGTTCACACATTCCGAAATCGTCGGTACATCATATGGTTCCCTCGCAGCCTGCTAAAGATGCAAACCAAAGTTCAATCCCAGAAGAAGGTACACCAGTATCTGAGTTCACTAGGGTGCTAGAAACCAGTGAGTCAGATGCAAGAGTGGAGGACTCAAACAGAACACCAGTAGACGCTATTGAAGTACCAAAAGTTATTGAAGTGAAGAGGGATGAACATGGTAATGGACAGACTAATTGTCTACAGTCACCAAGGAAAAATATAAATGTTAATCTTCTGAAACCAACAAATAGATCTGAGGCAGCTGATCTTCTGGAGTCTCAAGATTCAACAAAAAATATTCCAATTATTGTCTTGGACGATGATAGTGATGAGAGGGGCAAAGAGCAGGAAAAATCAGAGGTCCTTGATCAATTAATCCAGGAGAAAAATAAAGGTAGATTTTCTTTGGGGCAGATCAACCTAAATCTAAATTGTGCTGAATTACCACAAGAGAGGCTTCTCAGTTTGGATGAGACATCGGTGTACAAACTAAAAGATCAGGTCAGAATGATAATATTAGTCTATATTTCATGAAGTATTACCTTACATTTTGGCTTTAGTCCATAATCCACATTCCTCATCTTATTTAAAGAGAGAACTTCTTTCTGCAGTGAAGTGGTTTGTACATAATACATTCTGTACCGTTCATTTTAGTAGGATTGGGTGTTCTGTTTCTTTATACTTGCTCTAGGTGTTCAGTAAACTGTATCCTATGTGCTCTTTATTTGAACCACTATCTAGTTTACAAGCTATTGTTTTGCTGATACATGTGTTATAAAAAAGTGCTTACATATGCTTTATTGGATAAGTCCTTGATATTTGTGCTTTGTATTATCTCAAGCATTTTATTTGCACTATTTACAGGATCAATGTGTTCATGAACGAAAGCAAATGTCCCATCCAGTTGAAAGGTTGTTTTTTACAAAGGAGAAGGATGCCATGCACGGTAAAAAACATCATGAAGAAACCTCAACCATGCATAGCTCGTACTCAAATTTATTTGATCCAGCCCCATCATCGTCGTGGATTACTGGGAATTTCAAGGAACCAAGTGTCATGCCATCAGAACTGAAGTTCAGAATATTGGATAAGGCTCCTGAATTCAATTTAGATCTCAAATTGGATAGTTTCCCAGACAGTAGTGTATTAGCCCTTAGGCACGATAAGTTATTTCGTGGAGGCACCTCCAGTGGATCCCATTTTCTGACAGAAAGGCTTGGGACATACTCCTACAAAAGGCACTCTTCCCCGTGGTCAGAAGAAGAATTGGATTTTCTTTGGATTGGAGTTAGGAGGTATGGGACAAATAACTGGAATGCAATGTTGAGGGATAGACGGTTACGGTTTTCTAACTCAAGAAATGCCGAGGATCTTGCTAAGCAATGGGACAAGGAACAAAGAAATCTTCTAGGTGTGGATTTCCTTCAATCACTCAGATCCTCTGCTCGAGGTCCTCCACCGCCTTCACATATACCAGAAGATTACGTTGGAAGCAGTTCTTGGACTGGATGCTCAAAATCTCCATTTCTTTCTGCTCCAACAGACCTTTCATTGGGTGACATGTACCTTCGAAGCGCCCGTACTTCAGAGAGAGGGCAGCATCATTTATCAAACCTGGGCATGTTAAACCTACATGCAACCGACAATGTACCAAGAAATTTGTCTCTGGGAGGTTTCCCTGTTGCTTCCTCCCCATATGGGAGAAGTTCTAGCAAGCGTAGGAGGGCGTCCAAGCTTCCCAAGTCATACTATGACAACAAGGCAGTTTGGTGCCAAGATCCATCAGAGAGGGTGGCTCAGTTCCTTCCCATAAACCAGGAACCAATCAACAATCTTCCTGAGTGGCTGACAAAGGACGCCGAGATGGCGGGCGTACGCCGGCTTGATGCAGATCTGTGGCCGAGCATGCAGGCTCCGGGTCATTCTGCAGCAGACCGACTGAATGAAATGAAGCCTCATGTTCTTCCTGATGGATCACTGAAGCGTGCGCCCAAGAGGAAGGCGGAGTGGCGCGCCTTCAGCAAGAAACTGTTCAAGTCCGGCGATGGCGCCCTGGATCTAAACCAGAGGGCTGCTGCCATCGCCGGACCCCTCGGTGCCATTGGGACTAGTGACACCGGTGCATCGTCTGAAGAGACGGTTTCAGACAGTTGAGTGTATCTCTAGTAGTAGTGATTTAGTCCAGAAAACCTTGTGTCAGTCTGAAGCTGCCTGTATGATTCCGCTGCTGAAGCTGGTAAACAGTAGCAGTATGATCAAAGGTAAAATCGAGTTAAATTTCAGCCAAGTGATTGGATTCAGTTTTTGTAAACATGCATCGATCTGAATTCTGATTACATCCTGTGTAATATATTATTGGCTTGTGTAATCCAAAAAGATTGAACCATATATGCTCGCATGCTGAAAAGGAATTGCGAGTTTTTGTGATTTGCCATGAACCAATTGGTGATCATCCATCGATATGAAGTTTACTGTAGACTGGGCATCTCGAGTAACAAGTTTTTTTTTTCAATCACAGTATAATGTTAGCTGATGCTAGTATGTCTTGCACAGCTTAGTACTTTTATCTTATGGCAGGCTTGGCATCATTGGCCATAACTGAGTCGAGAGCATCTGGATGCATATACTCCCTTTGTCCCATGGTATAGCATACAGTATGTTTTAGCCCTTAACATGGCTATTAAGGGGAGAGAGAGATATATAGAGTTTTTTATTCTTCTTTTTTGGTCTTAGGATGAATGAGGTGTGGTGTTGGTTTGGACTAGTTGGAATGATAACAAAATGAGGGGTTTTTTCACCAAATGATCTAATTGGCCCATTGTTAACGAAAAAAAATCGAACACACCGGCCTGGGAGATCTGCTTAGCTCCTGTGCAGGTCCAAAGATTAATGAGATGCGGGCGTGCCAGTCAGTTTAATCCTGCAATTGACAAGATTTGCAAATAATAGATCAAACAGCCGATCGGCTGACAAGCCGATGGAGTAGTTCCAGCCGATAGCCGATAATAGCCGATGCCGATACCAGCCGATAGCGATAGGGTTTAAGCAATCGGCTATATGTCAAATGTAGATACTGATATAAAGGCCAATGGCTGATGATGATGTAATATAGAAATATAATCCTGCATAAACCAATCAGCTAACAATATGATATAGTAGAACAAGTATTGATCCGAAGGTTAAAGCACCCATCGGCTGGAGGTCCGATGTCATGAAATCCACAAGATTAAATTAAACAATGAAACCTTTGTTGCCATCGGCTAAATCCAACTTATATGTATATGCAATCCTTATGAGCCGATGCAACGTCCAGATAACTCACCAGCTGAAACCCCGATGAAACCCTTATTGGCAATCAATAAGCAGGCTAGAGATTATGGTTCTAAGCACGACTTAGTAGATCAAACTTAACTGATGCAGCACTAAGTATAAAAAGAAACACAATATCTAGACAATCAAGCCGTTGACTGATTTTCAGGGTGGTAGATGCCTAGGCTAATCTAATCTAGCAACGCGATTTAGCCGATACCGGCAGAAACCCTAAAGCGAGAGACAGCCGATAGAGCTAAATTGATATGCTAAGACTAGATTAACATAGACATGATAAATAGGTAGGCAAATATATCATCCAAACCAGAGCAATCCAAGAGGTCGAATGCACTGGTGCAACCTTGAACGACGCCGATGTAGATGAGACAATTGCCTGGACCGACGGAACATTGGACTTATCCCTTCGCCGGAGATCGAAGACGATGCAGCCCCGCGTCGGGTGCCAAGTTCCGCCGGAACGTAAAAAACGAAAGTAGAAGTAAAAAGGGTGCCGATGCGCCGAATTGTATTGATCGTAGCGATATATTACATAGACCCCGGGTGTACATATTTATACCCATGGGTTGATACAAGTCCTTGTCGGACAAGAAAGAAACTAACCTAAAGATAAAAAGGAAAATATAAAGTCCTTATCGGACACTAAACACACTTTCCTAAAGATAAAAGGAAACTAACAAACTATTCCTAATTAATAGATAAATTGTCATGCCGCATCCTCTTTAAACTCGGTAACTTAGGGATAAGCTTCCTTTAGTAGATTGATTTCCTTAACCGAATATAGCAGGAATCCGACTATTGACGACTTTATAACTCCTATCGGCTGATTCCGAGATGCTGCAGCTGATAATGATTATAAGCCGATGACGTCTTTGCCGATTACCAAATTTCACTGTTAACACCCATTAGCCCTACCCGAGTTTGTTGGGCTGGGCTGGGCCGGGCCACGCCAAAAGCATTTCTCCCCGTGGATCAAGTCCAAGACAAGAGTAAACAAGGCACAGCAATAATACAAATAATAAGTACAATGATAAGTAAATAAAATATAGGCAAATCGGTTTGATCCATGCCAACATTCCTACTGTGGTACCACTGCATGCATGAATTGTTATGTAGTACTTCTATATATGGACAAGGTAGCATGCAGCAGTACAAAATGTTCCAAATTTAAAAGCAACTAATTAAACTAGTGCTTAGTAACAAATTAAGCCCTATAGCTATAGCTAGCTAGCTAGACCACCTGATCACCTAGGTACGTGTATGCCTAGTACGTAGCTCTTAGCCATGCATATGCATACTCTCTCCCTTTAAAAAAACTCAATCTAGAAGAGATAGTTCATATTCATTATACTAGGAGGAGCCAAATCTATTTTTAGATTAAGTTTTTTTTAGGACGGAGGAGTTATATCGATAGAGTGTGTTCTCTGATCGATCAGATGAGCAGATCGACGTACGCGTGTATAGTGTAGGTGTACGTTCATGCATATATATAGGACTAATATCTGCCTCGGACCGTACGTGCATGATTCATGGATCGATCTTAATCTCCATGTGTCCAAAGCAAGTCTCAAATTAATATAGTTCCAATGCAGGGTTTACTCGTTTGTCAATGCACGCGTTGATGATCAAGTGGGAGATCGATCGATCGAAGGAGATGAGCTAGTACGTACCCTGCCTGCGTCAGGGCACAAGCCTCATTCATATATATGCATGTGGTTTACACTTGATTGGACAAACCAAAGTGGATACTGAAGCTATGCCACTTGTGCCCAGGGTACTTACCAACACAGATAGCTTAACACTTGCAGGCCAAGTTTGTTAATTAATAATCCATGTCCCATAATAATTGTATTTATAGGATTTGAATTTATCTCAAAATAATTGTCAAAATATAGTACTAATTAATGATCTCATTAATCACTTCTCATTCAAATTTCTCCTTATTTTACTCTCAACTATCCTGTACACTCTTACGTAGTACCATTTAATAAGGGGCATTATACTCTTTCTTCTCAAATCTTCGTATATGCGAAACAAACTAGAATTATAATCTTAATTAGCAATTGAATCGAACAGAAGCACACAAACATGCATGCATGCATCGATCGATCGGTCCCATATATATATCGCGCATCAGGATCGGGTAGCTACCAATTGTATGTGTAAATGTGTGCGCGCGCCTTCCCATATCGGGAAACGATGCTCCATCGATCTGCATTTTATTGATGTGCTCCAGCAAGGCGAGTCGTAGTTGGGTAAATTCTAAAATTAACGCCAGAGTTTGCCACAAGTAATTTGGCCGTGTTTGATCATGTTAGGATAGTGTTTGCTTCATAGACATATATATGCCAGTCATGCAAAACTTCATTTAAAGGAGACCTGAAATACATGATGTAGGAACACTAATTAATTAGATGTGGCAATGTTATAGCTTCTGTTTGAGAGAGCTTCTACCAGCTACAGCTTTTTCCACAGAATCTCTAATTAAGCTTCTCAAACATTTCAGATTCTCAACCAAATTCTGATATAGAATATAGATAATAAATTGCATTTGAAGTCAAAAGCTAGAAACCTATCTTTTGTCTATTCTCACTAGTTGATTAGTACTAGAAAGCTTCTGCGCTCAGAAAATGTGGCATCGATAGTCACTCGGCCTGCCCCTTCTGTGCTTAGGATCTGAAGACGGCGAACCACATCCTCCTCAATTGTGTGTTTGCTCGGCAGGTCTGGCTCCGCGTGCTTTTGCCTCTTGGCTGGGCTGCCCTCTCTCCCCCGTGGCAGCTGGTTCTAGGACTGGTGGCCGAGCACCAGGGCCCGCTTTACCTGAGCATCTCCTCGCCGGCTTCGACTCCCTGGTGCTTTTGGTTTCTTGGCAGTTGTGGAAGGAACAGAACGCTAGGGTTTTCGACTCTGCGCTCTCTTCTGTCTCAGTGGTTCTGGAGTCCATCCACTCGGAGGGTCGTCTGTGGTCTTTGGCTGGCATTGCCGCCTTTGGGGATTTGTTGGGAGTGTAGCGTGGCTCTGCCCCCTCCCGCTGTTTGGAGTCTTGTTTTTAGCCGCCGTAGTTTTTCTAAGTTTTCAGCTTTGATTTTGCCTTTTTTTCCCCTTCGCCTGGCATAAGCCGGTCTGGCTGAGTGAAGTTGTGTAGCTATTACTTTTTTCTTCTAATATATTGACGTGTAATCGTTTTACACGTTCGAGAAAAAAAAACTAGAAAGCTGCTTCTCGGAATCTCGAGCTTCTCAAACAAAGTCATTGCCTACAAACACAAACAAGCTAAGTTGTGGCATCAAATTTGATGGCCACAACTTTAACAATTGGGACACAAATGTTTAGATGTTCTTGGTCTATCAAACAAATAACCTCTGGTAATAATTCGCAGCCACATACATACTGGCAATCACGCTTAATTTGGGGTAGAAACAGAACTAGCTAGTTAGAGATATACTATCCATTCTGGAGGGGAACAAAGTACATGTGCCATGCAGAAAGTGAGGGAGCTTAGCACAAGAACTATGCAGAATTAATCCAAAATAATAGTACCAATATCCTTTTGTGGTCCTGCTAACCCATTGGTGATGGTGACTAATTAAGTACCAATTAAGTAGAGTCTAGGTGTCAATTAAGTAAAGCAGCCAAGTTACATGACAACTGACAATTGTCACAAGGGCCAAGGCCATCCCCAAATTCTTTTTGCCATGGACACCAGCAAAGGACGTAGTACTAGCTTGAAGGGTCATCAAGTTCATCCTTGGACTTAGCCAATTCTTTCCTCTTCTCATGCACCTGCGCGCCGTTTCATCTTTTCCTTGTTTGATTAGACGTTTTCAAAAGGATTAATAGGGGTCCAGTTCTAGGGAGGAGATTATATTACTTGTTGATTTGATATAACCCCTATTTGCATGCACACACCACCTGTACTGTACACGTCTTGAGGTTGGGGTTGAGAGCTTAGGTACACTCATATCAATGTTTTGACTTGATGTGAGTGTCGAATTATATAATTACTCCAGTAAGCAAAATTGTAGTACTCCATATATATCTTAGTACCTTCGGTAGGATTTCTGATTTCTACCACCACATTTAATTAGTTTCACTGAAAGTACATTGCTTTCCTACTAGTTAATCCGGAAATTAATTTTGTTGTTT